TGACGGGCGCGCGAAGAGATCGGACTTTGTTGACGGGTGCGCGAAAAGATCGGACTTTGTTGACGGGCGTGCAAACAGATCAGACTTTGTTCTTAGGACGCGTCGAAATGCTAATGAGGCAGTTGGGTCCAGGAAACAGGAGCTAGCGAAAAAAGAGTATCAGGAAAGAAACGCTCTTGCACTCCAACTACAAAGTGTGGCAGAACGCTTACTTGATGAGGGCGCAGGTAAAAGTACATTGAAAACTGTTCAATTTCTTTAAAATTTTCCAAAACATTTTTCATGACACATTTGTTTTTTTTTACAGATCAGATGCTAGACACTTTGGAGCCCGTTCAACGGCGGCGTAAGCCTGGCCTCCCTAAAAAAAGAACTCCAGAAGAAAAAAGGAGAATAAAAGAAAAGTTGGACAATTTGCCTTGTTTTAAGCGAGGACCATCAAACCAGGTAAATTTTCGATGGTATTTTTGTCTGACTTGATTTTTTACTGCTTGAATATTTATTTTAATATTTTATGTGTAGGCTGAACTGTGGGAACGGTCAGGTGTATTTGTGCCCTATGGGAAATTGCGGCTGGCGCGGCTAAAGTATGGGTCAAAACCCAAACAGCTGTACTCACCCTGATGGAGCGCTCCTTAAATTGACCATACCCACTGAAATCCTCCTTATGGAAGGCTGGAGTGTCAGTGGCACGAGGGGCTGTGTGAAGGCGAACGAGCACTTAATAGAGACTATAGTCTGTAAGTGGTTCATGTTTTACCATATGATTTTATCACGTTTGGCTGCCCACTTCAGTAAGTAACGCTTTCTGTTCGATTTAGCACATGTCGGTGCAGCTTTCAAGTTGGCTGGTAGTGACCCTGACAAGGTGACACATGATCCTGATTCCATTCTGAGCAACCTAGTGAAGAATACAAGGAGGACGTACAAGTCAGCACCCAACAACCAGGTGACCCCAGCCGACCCTGCCACCCAGGCTGACCCTGTGCCTACCCATGTCGCTGTGCCTGTCCCTACAACCACCCATACAGATTGGCACTCAGCCATCCCTACAGGAATCACCGCACTCCCACACACATCTGCCCTCGCTCACACGAGCACACTCACCTACCCCGCTCATGCAGCCAACCACACTATCACCAACGCACGCTCACCCACCCCCTCATGCAGCCACCCACACCCACACCAACGGACACCCATACCCACCCCCTCATGCAGCCACCCACACTCTCCCCAACGGGCACCGATACCCACCCCCTTATGAAGCCACACACACACCCACCAGCGCACACACACATTCACCCTCTCATCCACTCTTCCAGGAATCACTTCATCCCTCTCCTGAGCTATCAGAGCTGCAAAATTTTTCCAACACCATTAACTATGTTCTGAATAATGGTACCTAGACTAAACTTTTGTTTTTCCTTTTTAGCCCGCTCTTTTGCTTAAAAGCTATATAAGCGGGCTTATGCCATCGCCTCTGTGTCTGTCTGTCTGTC